GTATTCTCTGTCTCAGCAAGGAACACATCCATTCATCCATTTGTTCAGGGAAAATAAACTTGGAGTTAGTCTTGTTTTCTCTCTTTTCCATTAACATTCTATCCAAAAGGCAGTTCTGGAGCTCTACTTTGTAAAATATCTGACCACTTTCTTTTTTTTTCTTACAGGTACTGGGGATTGAACTTGGGGACACTCAACCACTGAGCCACATCCCCAACCTTATTTTGAATTTTATTTAGAGACAGGGTCTCACTGAGTTGCTTAGTGCCTTGCTTCTGCTGAGGCTGGTTTTGAACTTGCGATTCTACTGCCTCAGGCTCCTGAGCCACTGGTATTACAGGCGTGTGCCCCCCCCACTCGGCTCTGTCTGACCACTTTCTGCATCACCTGTATTGCTAAGCACACAGACCTATGATGACCAATAGAGTATGGCAAGAGAGATGCTATGTAGCTCCTAAGACTAGGTCAAAGGAAGGCCATGCGATTGTACCTTGCTGACTTGGGATACTCATTCTTGGAACTCAATGCCAGTAACCAGTAAAAAAGCTCAAGTGGAGAGAAACAGAGAACCTTCCCTAACCCACAGCCCTGCCAGTTGATAGCCAGCACAACCTCCCTACCCTGAAAGCATATCCTCCAACTCCCTGTCAAACTGCCCCAGCCAATGTCACTTGGAACAGAGGTGATCCATTCCTACTAAAGTCTATCCAATTGGCAGTCTTGAGAAAAAAATAAATGGATATTGTTTTAAGCCAACACATTGGTAAAATATTGTTGTTATATAGATAACTGAAATAAACCTCAAACATAAATCACCTAAAATAAGAACACTCACTTTTTTTGTTTTCATTTCCACACTTTGGACAGGGCTCCCCAGGGACAACTCTTCTCCGCTCCAGCATGTTTGAGGCATTTGCTGGGAAGAGTCAAACATGTGGGTCTGGAATCATTTGGGATTTTTTTTTTTTTTTTTACTCACATTATCTGGCAGCGGGGCTGTGATAACTCAGTTTCACCTCCCTTGGAGTCCCTGCAGTTGGCCTCTCCTTTACCTTAGGCTCCCTACAGCACCAAAACCTGAAGGTAGTCACCCTTCAGATGTGGTGGCTCAGGATTATGAGAGCATGTTTCCAACAACCAAGTCAGACCTTCATGGCCTTTGTACCCAGCCTCGGAAGCCACACAGCACCACTTCTGTTCTGCTCCACTGATTGTCAAAGTCACAGTGTGGCCATAGATCTACTACTACTTGTGGGAATATATGAAAGAATCTACAAGTCTTCTATAAAACTACCATAAATAATTTTACTCTGATTTGTTAAATATGGTTTTCTTGGTATTTACCCTGCCTTGAGTATGTGGCTTAATACTTTTGGCAGTTTAGAGAGTTGAAACTTTGCAAAAAAGTATATATGGAGTCAAATAGATATTCTATCCACTCACTTGAACTTTGAAGACATTCAAATAGCTGCTATTTGTCTCCTTGGTGTCCCCTCCTAAAGTGTCTCCTCAGTCACTTGGCTAAATTGTAGTTTACAGATTCATAAGATTACATATAAGCATAAATGAAAAATTTTGAAATGTTTTTTCCACGGTGTTACTAGAAAGCTTTAGTTATCTGAGTGGGTAATCCTAATTTTGTGCATTTGCCAGATATCCAATTCAGATCCATTATTCTTTTATGAACTAGTAAGTTTTATATTATCATACCTATCACATAGCTAAATTTATAGAATGAAAGCTACATACTCTTTGTATCATGTTGGGCATGCTTAGTATGTGCAAGGCCCTGGATTTAATCCCTAGTACTTTGTATTTCACAAATTAATTTTGCTTTGACCATCTTTAATAGAAATGGAAGTGACTGTTGAGAGAATTTTTTTTTTCAACAGAAAACTGTAGTACATCCTCATGGATATATCAGATTCTAGGTTTTGTTATATACTTATAAACTAGACTAGATCCTGAATTCTAGTTTTTTCCCCAATATCTGGCTCCCACTGTTTAATATTTCCAAATTTTCTCCCCAACTTCTGGCTCAGTAGTACTGAAAACAGATACTAACTTTTCCCAAAGGCCTACAAGCTAAAGTTGGAAAGCTTGAGATATACCTTAGAAAAAAAATCACAACACTTCTTGTACTGGTTACCTTGTGGGCTGCTCAGAAAGTATATTGGAACACCTGATGCAAACCACAAATCAGAAAAATCTGCCATATTGCCTGTCCTCATGTCACCATCTGAAGATGCTTAGAGAATATCTAGAAATCTTTCTCAGTGACTGTCCTCTGGACTCAGAAACTGGGTGTAAAGTTCTTTCTAAACATTAGTCATTTTGATCCCATAGAAATGCCTTTGATTGCACGAATTATATGGAGACTTAACTTTAGTGGACACCCAACTTTAGTGGAAGCCTACCTACAAACACTGCCTCACAAAATAAGGTATACCTCTCTTTAACTGTACTGACCCATACCTTGGGTTGAAAGACCAGTTCAATGGCTTATGGGACAATCCCATCAACGTACTCTGGATGGTGAAAATTTTAGGCAGGGGAATGATGGAATTTAAGGCATGCTACTATAAAATATGGTAACTTTGCATTTGAGAAAACAGAAGATGCAGGTCATAAAACCTAGACAGGTCAATTTCTGACTTGCTCCCACACTTTTCCCCTGAAGTAGATCATAAGACCTTCATTCAAGCAGTACCCTTCCTGTTACAGTTGGATGTGAGGTGTTCCCCAGAGGCTAACATGTGAGACAGTGCAAGAAAGTTTAGAGGAGAAATGATTAAGTTATGAATCAACCCAATCAGTTAATCGACCCCCTGATGGGATTAACTAAGAGGTAACTGAAGGTCGGTAGGGTATGGCTGGAGAAGGTGGGTCTTTGGGAGTGTGTATATTTTATATCTGGGGTATATATTTTATATCTGGCGAGTAGAGTCTCTCTCTCCTTTCTGATCATCATGTGAGCCACTTTCATCTGCCACACTCTTCCGCCATGAGGTTCTGCCTTATCTCAAGCCCCGAGGAATGGAAGAATGAAGCTGGCTGTCTATGGATTGAGACCTCTAAAACCATGAGCCCTAAATAAACGTTTCTCCTCTACAATTGTTCTGGACAAGTCTTTTAGTCACAACAGTGAAAAAGATGACTAAAACACTCCCTATACCTGGAAAAAAAGGAACAACCTTACTCTGAAGACAGAAGGACACAGAATAATCTTTTAAATAGGACTTACAAAGTCCATCCCCAAACCTGGTTAATTACCATTATATCACACCCCCTTTATTCAAACATATTTCTCCACACCTATACATTACCTCATCAAAGTGCATAAAAATACTCAGATTTCTATGTTCCTTTGGCACTTCATTTCTAAAGACCCCCATATCATGCAAAACCTATGTTAAATAAGTTCATGTACTTTTCTCATGATGATCTATCTTCTGTTGTAGGGGACTCAGCCAGGAACCTAGCAATGGATGAGGGCAAGAAATCCTTCCTCCCCTACATGCTGAATATCAAGCACTGACTTTTGGGGAGAGAACAGTGGCAAGCATCTAAATAAGACATCCTTCTTTCTGCCCCGGAATCTAAACCACCCTAAAACTTGCAATCTCAGATAATTAGCAAATAACAAAGCATAGATATTCAGAAATATATTTACAGGCAACGAAGCCCCTGATAGATCTAGTCCACATGGGTTCTGGAACTAGACAAAAATAAGATGACTCCTGTGGTTTATTTAAGGGGGCACATCAAAGGCAGGGATAAGGTTTCAAAAGGGGAGTTTTGCTTCCAAATATTTTGCAGTCAGCAGGTTGATTGACATCTTGGCAGGTCACACCCATCTCAGGTGCTATGAAGGCTCTGGCAGAGCAAGAAAGAGATTCACACTGTCCCTGGACAATTGACCAGAGGAAATGTCCACTGGCTATTCCCAGATACCATATGTCTCTATCCATGAGGTTTCCATGCAATCCATGGACAGCTCAAGACAACTGATTTAGCAGATTACTTTGGCCTTAAAAAGTTGTGGACAGCTTTTGCCTGCACACATCCTTTATTTGCCTCACAGATCAGTTATAAGCATTAGTGCTGAGCTTCATACAGGTGTTCTGGAGGCTCTGTTTTCCTCCCCAGCCACTCCTTTCCTTCCCAGAATAAAATGTTTGTCAGTCCCATGTGTTGCTGTGGCATAGGGTTTATGTCAGATAGAAGGTCCTCTTTTCCCTAATATTTACTTGTTTTGTAAAATCAATATTCCTGTTAAAATATATTTGTGCAATAAAAAGCATTTTTATTTACACATAGTATATTAAAGCATAACATCTAAAAAGATACATAATAATATATCCCAAATATGACTTCCAGGAATGAGGGTGATAGAGGGGACAATATCCTATGGAAAGTGAATGAGCCCCAGTTATTGGCTGATACTACAGTGTAGGAAAAAGCTACTCCTGGGAAACAGTCCTTGCCAAAAGGTGAGGATGTGAACAGCCTTATACTCAGCTCTGACATCAATAGTAATCAGATGTTCTAGTAAATGGGTTTTCTGGATACAGCAGGATAGCAGCAGGAAGTTCCTCACACTGTAACAGCAGGATAACTACAAAAATGTTTCTAGCTCTGTAACTTTATAGTACACAAAGAAGCCTCTTCATAACTCACAAGCCTTGAACAATTTACAAAGCTTCTGTAGTTAAACTTCCTGATAATGAGACCCTATATAATAAACATGCTGAGCTAGTTCTGTGTCACTATTTCTCCATCAGAGGGCAGTGTACCACCTGGCCCCAGCCTTGCTTAAAAATGTCTCTGTGTTTTTCTTAATCTCTCATAGCCCTTACTCAAGATCCTTTGCTGTTGCTGCATGGGTAGCAGCAGTATTCTAAGAAATGAAAGAGACAATTGCTTTGTCTATAATGGTCCAATTTTTAATTTAATAAATGTGTATATACTTAAGGCTCCCTTTTTAATTCCTGATATCATTTTTTGGATAGGCACTTTTTTTTTTTTTTGAGGTATTGGGGATTAAACCTAGGGCCTTGTGCATGCTAGGCAAGTGCTCTACCATTGAGCTACAACCCCAGCCCTTGGATAGACACTATTTTGAATAGTAATATTTAAAGAGAACAGTATGCAACTTAGAAGAGTTATAATAATAACTCCTCTAATCAGATGAACTAATCTTAACTGGTGTTCTTAGAATATATTCAAGTCTTATCCTCCAAACCTTCAGATAATGGGTTAAATTTTTGGAAGATCTCTCCTTAACTCTTACCACCCAGGTGTTTGTGAAAGAAAGCCTGGAGTTGTTCCCACACATCCAGCTGGGCCATGGCATGAGCCCTGGGTTCCCCTCCATAGACAATAGGACCACCCACCAAGACATGATGGGCAGCCCTGCACAGGGGCCAGTAAGGGGGCTCAATGTAGTGCCCTGCTTCTGGGTAACAGATGATCTGGGGCTTCTCCTTCCCATGGGCCTGCAAGCGTTTAGAGGCCTCATTCGAATAGAACTCGCTCTTCCAGTTGTGGTCATCCTGACCCACAAGGAACAGAAAGGTGGTATCAGACCTCTCCACGGGAATAAAGCTCTTCTGGTCTTCCAAAGGACTTTTCAGGGCTTCCACAACATCCATGATGCCATCTTTGGTCATCTTGACTCGATCTCTCATGATACCCACAGGGGGCAGCGTCTCGTCCTTGTAGTGTATGCTTGCCCCAACAACGGCCACTGAGCCATTGATTATGACTGCAGCCGTGATGCCCTTCAGGAAAGAGGATATGGCAAGGCCAAGTTCTCCCCCTTTGGAATTCCCAAGAAGCCCAATACCTGGACCCTTTACCTGAAAATGGACAGAAGAAAAAGAAGAAGAATAAATCTCCCACCCATGTCATAGAGTGAACAGTGACCATGCGGGAAATCAGCTGGATCTGAGCCTGAATCTGAGCTCTACCTTCTCTCCAGGTTGTCACCTAGGGAACTCTACATATGCTTCCTCCCTACCTTATAAGAGCAACCTAAAGGGAGGAAAATTTTTTATGTGCTCATGTTTCCGAGGTCTCAGTCATGTCCAGCCTACTCCATTGCTCTGACCTGAATCGAGGCAGAACATCATGGTAGAAGGTGTGGCAAAGGAAAGCTGCTCAGCTCAGGACAGCCAGGGGGTGGAGAGAGATCAAGCGAGGAGCCTGTGGCATAATATAATCCCCTAGTGGCCCACTTACCCAGCCATCTCCACCTTCCTAGAGTGACCACCGAGTAATCCATTCAAATTATTAATCTAAGTCACGTGCAGCGGTGCACATCTGTAATCCCAGTGGCTTGGGAGGCTGAGGCAGGAGGATCACAAGTTCAAAGCCAGCCTCTGCAAAAGCGAACTACTAAGAAACTCAGTGAGACCCTGTCTCTAAATAAAATACAAAATAAGGCTGGGGATGCAGCTTAGTGGTCAAGTGCCCTGAGTCCAATCCCTGATATCTCCCTACCCCCGGCCCCCCAAAATCCCTAAAAACAAAGTATTAACCTATCAATGGTAGTTTGGGTTTGTACTATCCCATGGGACTGCTCTTGTCCTATATTCCAAAGTCCTCTATGTTATCAACAGATGGCCCTTTGATAGACCTCTCTCAGCAGTTTTTTTTTTTTAATTTCAGTTGCAGATAGACACAATACCTTTATTTTGTTTATTTATGTGGTGCTGGGGACCAAACCCAGTGCCTCAGCATGCTAGGCAAGTGCTCTACCACTGAGCTGCACCCCAGCCCTCCCAGCAGTCTTTGTTCTTTCTTTGTGGCTTCCGTAACAGCACCCTTACTGGTTTCATGAAAGTAGTAAGAACTAAGTGATATTTTAATCAATCCAGATTGTCAGAGTAAGTAGATGTGACAACATATGGAGTTAAGACATTGGCAAAATAAAATGCCCAATTTAACTTATCTTTGTGTATATCTTATACCTTTTCCACTACACCCAGTCACCTTTTCTTCTTCTTTATTATAATTCTTATTACGGTACTAGGGGATTGAATCCAGGGGCACTTTACCACTGAGTGACATCCCCAATCCTTTTTTATTTTCACAAGGGTCTCTGAAAGTTGCTTAGGGCCACAAAAAGCTGCTGAGGCTGGCCTCAAACTTGAGATCTTCCTGCCTCTATCTCCTGAGGAGCTGGGATTACAGGTGTATACCATCACACCTGGCTCCTGTAAGCTTTCTAATCACCTTCACCCTTGACAAGAAAAGGAGGTGAAGAGGACATTCCAAGAAGATGGCATGGCAAAAGCAGAGGGAAGAAAGCCCGTGCTCTGGGAACTGCAGGGAGTCCTGTGCAGTCACACATAGTGAGGCAGGAGTAGCCTGGCCCGCGTAAAGCCCTTCTCCTGAATGAGGAAACAAATCTTTAGAAAAAGAGCTTCCTTGCCCTTCAAGGAGGGTCACCCCTTGACATTGAACATGAAAAAGTATGTTTTATGACCTAAAAAAATATATACATTCTGGGGCTGGGTTGTGGCTCAGTGGTAGAGCACTCGCCTAGCATGTGTGAGGCACGGGTTCGATCCCTGGCACCACATAAAAAAATAAATAAATAAAATTAAAGGTATTGTGTCCATCTACAACATTATATACACACACTCACACACACACACACACACACACATACATACACACACACAAATAAATAAATAAATATAAATATATACACACATTCTTCCTGCTTTAGAAACTACATAATTGGTATGAG